TGAGATACCCATGTGATTGGACACAGTTTTATGACATTTTTTGCAGCAGTTGTTAAGCAAATTACTACAGTCTTTAAGTGAATCTGTGGTTGTAAGTGCAAACCCATTCTTTTGAATGGGAAGATTTTGCCAGAAACTGGCAAAAAACTTCATAAATTGCAGTCCTATGACCACTACAGCCAGTTGTGAAGGCAAGCCAATTGCCAAACCAGAGAAATGCAGTAATATGATCACAGGGAAGGTATGGCGTGACATTTTACAATGGCTAGAAGTGCTTCACACACATGTTCTGGGCCCGTCTTAATTTTGAATTGTTGTTAAGCAACCAATCATCAGTTTTAGGTAGTTCACCTATAGCACTACATTTACTTTTGCTGTCCAACCTGAAATGTACTGATGGATCATAATGTCCTCTACTTAAGTGTCCTCCCCAATGATCCTTTCCTCTCTTGTTTTGATTGCTTACTTTCAATATCTAGTTGCCAAGTGGTGAGAGGATGTTCCTACTTATTTAAACAGACTTTGGCTATCAAGGGCACCAGATGATCTATGATTTCACCTCCCTTAAAAATAAATTGCACATACAAAACCAGATAAAAGCAAGTTCTGCTGCCCAGTCTTAATTCTGATGGGGTCACAAGCTATAGGCAAGATCATTCCTCTTAATTGTCTTCTTTAACAAGGCTTACTTTTCCTGTCAAGTTGGCATATAGGTTTAATATGAAATGCCCTCTGGGCAGAAAGCTTTTCATGTAATGAGTCATCACATGGTGCATTAAAGTGAGTTGTTCTGAAAAGCATTTTCACAAAACTATGGTGATTTTGTTGGTCCAGAAATATTTATTTCCTTATTCCAAAGATTAATCTGCAGGGACTGTTCCAGCCCAGTTCAAAAGAAAGGCAGTGTAAGACCTTATGAAATAAAGTCTCATATTTTATACCAATACTTACACAAATACAATACTTCAATGTTGAGTTTAAAGTCTAAATGTGTTACATGTGGAATGTGTGTATTCTCATATACTTTCCCAATTCCATTTCCTGCCCCCCCCCCCCCCGGACATTTCTTTCCTAAGACCATCTGGCTTTATCAAGAGCAGACTGACCCAAATAAAATGTACCGTACAAAATACAGTGGTCACCATGAACAATCCCTTCATATCTTCTGCTTCTGAGGCAAAAAGTGCTTCTCACACATAAGCCATTACGCTAATGGGAGCTTTTCACTTGCGCTTTGAGGTAGTGCCTTTGTCCCTGCTGTATTCTGTAAAAGCATTATCCAGGATCAATGTATTATCTGGCTGTTACTCTTCCTCAGGTTAAGAGTCCTCCATGGATAACAAACCCTTTTAATTAAAGCAACCACACACCTTCCTGCTTCCCATTTTCTCTTAATCCCCCATTTCCCTTCTGCTGCAGACAAAGTACCTAGTTGAGCATAAAACCTAGAGGTCACCAGCCAGGGCTTTTTGTGGCATCACAGCCAAAGCACTTGAGACCAATCAACACAATATAGAAATCCTTGAGAGTCTTCTTGAAAGGATGAAGATGTTGGATGATGATTCTAATGGCCCTTGAGAAATAGGAAGCAGGTGCCTCTAACCTAGGAAGTATTAGAAAGAAATGTATGAAAGCACAACTTAGAGTTGTCCAATCTGTGTCTCCCTCATCCCACAAGTCACTGAAGTATAAGTTACAGCTGATACAACTAATAACGAATAAGTTGGGAGTTTTAGACCAGCACATTTGGAGAACTGGAGGGAAAAATACTGGCCACCTCAGAATAGATACATCAACAATAAGAACAGTTGACCTGTTTAAACTACTTTCACCTTAAAAGTTTGAAAGTTTATCATGAGAAAACATCATTCAGGAATTGTGATGTTATATAATATATGTATGTGTATCCCAAATCAATATACTGTAGAATGAAGATCTCTTCATTGAAAGTATGAACTGTTTAACATTGGTCAATTACAGTTCAGCCAACAGATATTTTTTTTTACTTCATAGTCTAAGACAGAGTGGTTCAAAATCATCCAATTGACTTCCATGCCTAAGGGAGGACTGGAATCTAGGTTTCTCCACTCCTAGTTCAATACCTTATCTGTTGCATCACAGTGTTCACTCATATATGTATCAAATCCATAAAATTAAGCATGTGGAAAAAGAGGAAGCCAGTTAATTTATGGTGGCCAATTTGTCAGGAAATCTCAAGTTTTAATCTCAAGTCAGTCTAGAATTTACTCGTTTGCCTTATTCAAACAATTCTTAACGTTATCCCATCCTCTGCAACTTAGATATAATAAAGTTGTCTATCACATACTGTAGGTTTCTTACCAGATTTTCTGGGATCTGTAAATTGTTGCAGTGTAGGATGAGTTGGGATTCACAGTTGCCACAAGATTCAATTCAGTTCCTAATACAGCAACTTGAAAAACACCCTGCTTCACTTCAAAGCAAATTAGTAGCCACCCAACTCTTTGTTGGAAATCAAAAATTCTGCTAACTAGAAATGATTTTAAGCTTTCTTTCTTCTGTTTGATAGAATTAGATCATATTCAAATTTCAAAGGCATATTTGCTCCTTAAAAAAGTAATGTTTCTGAGATACCAGAGAAATTAATAGTATACTGAAATATAAATCTTTACATTTTTATTTGTTTTGAAAAGAGAACTATTGATGGCTGTTCTTCGTGAGTACTTAGGCACATACTTATAGGGGATGACATTTTAAAGTTTCAGATGATAAAAGTGCAGATCATTTAATGCAAATACTGTGGTTACACTGTGAGAGTGTCTCCCAAACCAATGTGCATAATCACATGATGTAAATGAATGGAATAATATTTAGAGCTCAACTGGACTTCACCCAGTTTGATCTGGCTCTGCTGATTTTTCAGGTGCTACTTCCAATATGACACTCAAATGAGAAGCGTGAGCCCCAGATTGGAAAACATGTTGCCCCTTTTATTTTACACTTCTGTATAATACAAAAAAGACAGTTGCATAGGGGAGGCTTTGTTTTTTAAAATGTGAACTTTCTAAAATCCAATTGGCAGTAGAGTTATAAGTGCAATAGAACAGTGAATGTACATAAAGTGCAATGACAGGCAGGAATTTGAACATTTGAATTCTGAACAAAATCTTATCAAGATGTCACAAATTCTATTACAGCTCTCAATATTCCTGCTCTGAACTAGCAAAGAGCACTTAATCTCAAACAAATAACATCAATATCTTTGTATCATAGTACTTGATTGGGCAATTCTCATGAAACTATTCACTATCATTTAGTCACATAGACACAAACACTCCTTTCTAAAAAATATAACAAGTTGATGAGGAAACCCTCTACATAATCTGGAGGGGTGGCTCAGATTGCCTATGGTTTAACAAAACAAAGTGCAATTCAAACAAAGACAAGTTCTTTGATCAAAAGTGAAGCACTGTCACGATTGGGGGAACAGCCTGTTCTGAATAGGATTTGGTTCCTTCTGAAAGCTGAGGACTATAGTTTGGAACTACCTTCTGAATAGTTCATGGATGTTCAAATGGGTACTGCAGCTAAGGAATATTTTTATAGCTTTGGTTAAAATGCCTGGTGTATTTCTTTCTGAAGAAAATGACCTGGTCAAATTCTTAATCAACTTCCACCATTTCTTTGCCCTGATGGGTAGGTTTAGAATTCTGAGAACGTTCTGCAGAATGCATTTAAGGAGAGTAGAATCTGCTTAAAGCACTTCTGTCATAGTAGAAAACCTGTTATATATTTCTAAACAAAATACCCATCCATCAAACTAATAGACCCCATCTGCAGTTCAAAAATACTTACCTCCCTATTTGTTTAAATGTTTTAATGCAAATGCCACTATTCCCAAAATAGATATGGGAAAGGCAGGCACAGTGTTGCAGCCTGACATTAAAACTTTTGTTTTGTTTTGCCTGCTTTTCTCAGATTCCCAACTTTTTAAATGTTTCATAACACTATGAAGACCCTGATTGTTGGGGGCAATATGCTGACTCTGTAAACTGCTTAGAGGAGGCTGTGCTGTGAAGTGGTATATAAGTCTAAATGCTATTGCTATATTTTACCGGAATGTGATAGTGTTCTGCCTGAAGGCCAAACTTGGTACAGCAGAGATAATATGCCTCAGATTAATGCTTGAGGGCAGAGACATGATGCTCTGCCATATGAAGCATCTGGTGAGGCTAATATGTTTTGACCAGGTGCCTTACTTAAAGGATGGGTCTTTGGGCTGCAAATGCAGAGAAGTCATTATTTTGGAACCTATTAGTGGGTTTGGTTGAAATTTGTGTTCAACCCAGAGCTTTTCTTAATCACCCAGTAAAGCAAGGCAATCTTTACAAAGTATTGCACCCCTCAGCTGTCAACTTTTTGTAATACTTCTAGCTTAGTAAATGTGATGAGAAGTCCGATTGGGTCTAGTTGTTTCTATCTGAAATTGGAAAATGGGATGAGAGAAAACACAAGTTAATTGCCACAAACTCATGTTTATATGTGATGTTGGAGTGGTATCTGGGTTAACTTGTCATTTCTGTTCAACTTTTGAATTACCGTCAAACACAGTTCACTGCCATCACTTTTTTCTAACTAAAAAGCTTTCTTACATCCTTGAAACTAGCCTACTCCATATTATTTCAAATGTAAATATAGACTTGATTTTGGGAACAGTGATATGGTGCTGACAATTTTATTGTCATTTCCTTTCCTAATAATCTCTAGAAGGAAAAATACCATTTTTATTACTGCTGAACTGAGATCGTGTTGCTCTAGAGCAGGGCTGTCAAACTCCTGGCCCTTGGGCTGGATGCGTCATGTGCTAGCTGCGCCCATACCCAGTTTAGCGAAGGGGGAAAAAGTCTGGATATGTCACATGACGCTGCCAAGATGACGTGAGTTTGACACCCCTGGTCTAGAGTTTAGAGAGATTATTGACAATAATCTAGCTGGAAAGTAATTAGTATTGCTGATTGTAGGTGCCTTCAATCTATGGATTGCAGAAAAGACGAAGAGAATTGGAGGACCAAACCCATCACAGTGCAACAACAGATTCAGAACTGTCAGAGTTGGAAGACAAAGTGGCTTTTTCTGTGGCTGAATTACAACACAGAGAGACTAAGGTAAATCCCTGTTGTCTTTTCTTAAAAGGCAGCTTGGATTGATTTCTAAGCAAGAATTCCCCAGAAAATTATCTCTACGTTTACCTCTACCTCTGTCTGTCTGTCTGTCTGTCTGTCTGTCTGTCTGTCTGTCTATCTGTATTTTCCTGGGCAAGATAGCCTTATATTTTCATACAAATTGACTGAAGTTTTTATACAGTGACTCTGTAAAAAATAGAATAGAAAATAAAAATAAAATACAGTTTCTTAAATCAAGAAAAGTATAATCAATTTTGTTTCTTAATATCTTTCTCTTAATTAAGAGAGAAGATAAGTCACAATGGGAATTGATCTTGCCTAAACCTTATTCTGCAGGCTAGCTCAGCACAGCTGAGGCAACGCAATTTTGCCTCAGAAATCTGGGAACTCATAATGAAGGCAGAAAATAATTGGTTCTGAGAAAAGTACATTTTTTTTCACTGCTAGCACCTGACTTGTACATTGTAATGAAATTAGGGTGTAGTCTGTTTTTTAAAAAAGCCTGAGAAAGTCTGGAAAGCAGAAGTATTCAGCAGGTTCTGACCAGTTCTGGAGAACCGGTAGCGGAAATTTTGAGTAGTTCAGAGAACCGGCAAATACCCACTCTGACTGGAGATTTTACAGTATCCTTCCCCTGCCAGGCCCACCAAGCCACGTGTACAGAACCGGTAGTAAAAATGTTTGAATCCCACCACTGCTGGAAAGCTATAGTCACATAAAACATGGCATGCTTGTTCCATTTATTATTATTTTTAGTACTTAAATAATTGAAGACAATTATCCCCAGATTCCAGTTCATTGGCATGTCAAGTGCCAAATGAAATAGCTGCACTGACTTAAATTAGGGATAGATGTTTGCCTCTGTGTGTATGCATATACAGTACAACCATGTATTGGTTTTATGCTAGGAAAAAGTCTAATTGCCTTTATGATGGAAAAATGTTCTACTTCCTATAAAGGTGTCTGATATAGAATCTCGGATCGCTGCACTGAGTGCTGCTGGGTTGACAGTTAAACCAGTGGAAAGGTCTAAGAAGAAAAGAGGCATCCAGGTGAGCATACCTAAATTTTACAAAAAAAAACCCAATGATGTGCCTTAATGAAATTGTATGGTCTCTGAATTCAGGTTTATAATTATAAAAAGTTGAGGAGATATGAATCCTGCCTTCTAAGCAAAGCAAGAAATCTAAGTACTCTTAATAGGCAGCAAATCTCATTTGTTGACTGTATTATTTTATTATTTCTGTGTTTGTTATCTGGCATCTATAACTTGAGGATATAATAAAGGAAGAATGCCCCAAACTCTGGTCTTTCTTGGGACTTAGTTTGCTTTTTTAAATAGTTTGTTAACTAGATTTTTTTTCTGTGTATCTGATCTGTTAGGATGCCAGGCCTCTAGGAACTCTCTTATATTTTTGGATTTCACTTGATCTAAAATGGCTATAGTCGACTTGGCGATTAAATTGGTCCGTATATCCAGTAAAACTTTCCAGCATGTCTTCTGGCTGCCAACTAAGTGTGTTCTCTAATCCTTTGCCTGTTTGTCCTACACAGTAGCTTTCACAGTCATTCTACAGTATGTTGTAAATAATTTCATTTCACATTTGTTTAAGATATTTTGGAATGATTTTGTTAGTTTGTGGGCTACTTCGATACTTTGCAGTTGATGTAATTACTGGTGGTTTTTTAGATATTTTTAATGTATGGAAGATTTATTCTTTTTATGGGTTGGGTTGGTTGTGTTCCAGTTGGTTGCACTGAAAAGCACTTTTAATAATGTGAGTACCCAATGTAATGGGTACCATTTCATTGAAGGATACTATAAATACTGTCTATTCCCTCTCTTTGGAGTTCTTGGAATATACAGACAAGCCTGGATATTCAAGCTTGTCTGAAAGCCCTCTTATGTTGGGCAGTTGGATTGTTGCTTTGGTAATGCGGCACTTGGTTTGTTTATACTGGTTTTCAATATATCTGAATATGAAGTCTGCCATTAATACTTTGGTTGTTGATAATATCTAGGAATGGTAGTCTGTTATTCTTTTCTTCCCTTATACATTTGATTCTGTTAAAGACTGATTTTGTTGTAAGTATTTGGTTATGACAAAAACATAATGTCCACATAATAGATTCACATTTGGAGTTATTTATGGAGGAGGACTATTATTTCCAGACGCTGCTTAATTGTTTCTGATTTGAATCCTGAAATAGGTGATTCCATAGATGTTCCTTTGATTTCTTCGTAGATCTGCCTATCAAACTGAAAATAAATAGTGAGGCACTAGTCTATAAGTTCCATATTTCTAAGTAATTTCCATTTTTGGTTCCTTCACTTCATGTGGAGCTTTGTATAGAGTAAGGATTAAGTGGTTTTTGCCAGTTTTGGATCTATGGATGTGAAGAATGCTGTGTTATCGATGAGTTCATGAATTCACCTTCTTCAGCTATTAAATATTTTCTTTTATTTTCTAAAAGCACTGTAATAATGAATTGATAGCATGTGTGCTCCCATCAAAATAGCCACATTTTTAATGAGTTCTTTGGCAAAATTGTATGTTGGGGTGCCCAATAATTACACAATTAGGTAGAGCAGTATATCTGGTCTGTGTATTTTTGTGTGTCCATAAAAGCATGGGAAATGGATCCATAGCTTTTTGAACACGTTTGTTGTTTTGTAATTTGTCTTACTTTGAATAGATCATTAAGGCTTTCTTCATTTGATTGTCTACTTTCTATACTGAGCTTGTATTTAGAAATTAACAGAGTTGGAAGGGACCTTGTAGGTCATCTAGTCCACACACACCCCGCCCAAGCAGAAGACTCATTTCTGACAAATGGCAGTCCAGTCTCTTCTTGAAAGCCTCCAGTGATGAAATTCCCACAACTTCTGAAGGCAAGTTGTTCCATTGGTTGATTGTTCTCTGTCAGAAAATTCTTCCTTATTTCTAGGTTGAATCTCATCAGTCAGTTTCCATTCATTATTCCTTGTCTGGCCTTCAGATGCTTTGGAAAACAGATTAACCCGCTCCTCTCTGTAATAGCCCTCAAATATTAGAACACTGCTAATGTCTTCCCTGGTCATTCTCATCACTAGACTAGCCATGCCAAGTACTTGCACCCATTCTTCTTACGTTTTAGCCTCCAGTTCTTTAATCATCTTTGTTGCTCTTCTCTGAACTATTTCTAGAGTCTCTAAATCTTTTTTAAAGTGTGGTAGTGAAAACTGGATGCAGTATTCTAGGTGTGATCTTACTAAGGCTTTATAGAGTGGTATTAGTACCTCACTTGATCTTGATTGTATCCCTCTGTTAATGCAATTTAGGATTGTGTTGGCTTTTTTGGCTACCGTCACACACTGTTGGCACATATTTAATTAGTTGTCCATTAAGACTCTTAAGATCCCTCTCACAGTTACTGCTATTAAGCCCAGTATTACACAGTATATATGTGTAGTTGTGGTTTTGCTTGCCTAAATGCAAGACTTTACTTTTCTCTACATTGCATTTCATCTTTTTAGATAGAGCCTAGTGTTTAAATTGTCAAGATCCATCTGGATCTTGAATTTATTATCTAGGATGTTGGCTATACCTGCCAGCTTAGTAACATCTGCAAATTTGGTAAGTTCCCCTTCTATTCCCTCATCTAAGTCGTTTATGAAAATATTGAAGAGTATTGGGCCTAAGATGGAACTTTGTGTACCCCACAGCTTAACTCCATCCATATAGACATAGTACCGTGAAGGACTAATTGTTGAGTATGGTTTGTCAGCCAGTTGTAGATGGTGATGCTATCTATCCTATTTTTTTCTAACTTAACGGTACTGAGAAGTAGATTGTGGTCTACTTTGTTGAATGCCTTGCTGAAGTCTAAGTATACTATGTCCACAATATTTCGCTGGTCCACTAATTCAGTCACCATGTTGAAGAAAGAAATAAGAATGGTTTGGTATGTATGGTACGTTTCGTCTTTGCAGATTCTGGCTATCTGCTAATATTCTGCCATACTTATATGTCCCTCTTTCCATTTTTTGTACTTGTCCTTTTTGTCTTTCAATATATCAGAGAGATCTTTGGGCAGCCATGCTGGTTTCTTCTTGGATTTCTTGGTTGTTTTTTTCAGTGGTACTATCCTGGACTGGGATTTTATGATCATATTTTTCAGAGTTCCCAACTTTCTTGAGTTGTTTTCCCCTTTAGGATTTTCATCCAAGGAATCTTTCCCAAGTTTGTTAAAATTAACTCGTTTAAAATCTAAGATTCTGATATCATTATGTTTTATTGTTTGTGTTTGCATTATGCTGAATTCCAGTTTGACATGGACACTCTCACTCAAGGTTCCTGCAGTTTCAGCTTCCTCAATCGGTTCTTCTCTACCTTCCTCTACTTTTTGGATAACAAAATTGTCAGCTAGGTTGGTCAGGAACCTATTCGATTTCTCACTTGGTGCAGAATTAGTCTTCCAGTTGATGTCAGGGTAATTGAAGTTCCCCATTACTATTATATTGTGTTTCCTACATATATTTGTTAATTGGTTAGCAAAAAGTACCTCTATTTTTTTCTGCTTGGCCTGTAGTATACACCTATGGCAATGTCATTCTTTTTTTCTTTCATATTGATACATATGCATTCTAGGAGGTTTTCGTCTTTGATTTCGTATATTTCTGTATCAATGTAGTGATCCTTTATATACATGCAACTCCACCTCCTCTTTTATGGGGTCTGGGGTTTTTTTTAACAGTTTGTATCCTTCTATCAGTATGTTCTAGTCATGGGCTTTATCCCATCAAGTTTCTGTGATTGCAACTATATCGTATCTACCTTCATGTATTAATAATTTGAGTTCACCCCGTTTGTTCCCCAAGTGTATATAGACACTTGAGATGTTTTTGTCTGACTTTCAGTATCCTTCCTATGACTCCTATTTGGTGGTTCGAGTGTCTTCCTTCCCATCCCTCCCAACTTCTTTATTTGACTTATTTTCTAGGGATTTTTGCTTGGAATTAGGTCCTGGAGATTCTAAAGATTGGTCACTCTCCCTCTTCAATTTTAGTTTAAAGTCCTTGTGATAAGTTGAGCTAGTTGTCTTCCAAAAACGTTATTCCCAGTCTTTGTGAGATGCAGCCCATCCTTTGCCAAAAGCCCATCATGAATGTAGTGCAGACCACAATCCAGGAATCCAAAGGTTTTTTGGCAATACCAACTCTTTAGCCAGTGGTTCTCTCCTAGAATCTTTTATTCTCTTACTGGATTTATTTTACCTCTTACCTTTCGTTGGTAGTACAGATGAAAAAACTACTTGTGCACCTAACTCCTTAACTTTCTTGCTGAGTTGCTCATAATCACTCAATATTGTCCTTTTTTGTATCATTTGTCCCTAGATGTAGTAGTAGAAAAGGGTAATAATCTAGTATTTTTCTATGTATCACAGAAGCACTTGATGGTGCTACTTTTTAGGGACATTTCATGATGCTTCTTTTCTAGGTGTTTGCATGTTTTCTTCCAGAGAGATGTAAGCAAATTTATTGTTCAACACCTCATTAGGTTTTTTTTAGTGTTGTCCTCTATCCATAAAAACTGTCATTCACCTTTGCCTGCTGGTTTTTGGTCCTTCTATAATATTTTTTATGGCTAGAGAAGGGCAGTTTGTTTTAAGACCATTCTGTTTTTGTGTTACTTTAGTCAGAGGTAGGATTTTGAATACATTTTTTTGGATCTCATTTGAGAGTTTAGGTATTCTGAATGCTGTTTCTGATACTGTAAAGAATTATAACAATGTCCTATATGCTACTTTACAAAGTGACAAAACAAACTTACATATACTGTAGGGCCGTGATGGCAAACCTATGGCACGCGCCATAGGTGGCACGCAGAGCCATTTGTGTCGGCACATGAGCTGCAGGCAAACTTACTTCACTGTGCATGTGCGCGTCTCACAGTTGATTTTCAGCCAGTTTGAGGCCTTTTTCGGCCTCCCAGAGGCTCCAGGAAGGCCTCTGCAGGCTTTTCAGGCCGAAAACAAGGCCTGTTTCATCTCTTCCAGTTTTTCCAGAAATACCGGAAGTGACAAAACAGGCCTAGTTTTGGCCTGAAAAGCCTGAAGAAGCCTTCCTGAAGCCTCTGGGAGGGCAAAAAAAGCCTCAAACTGGCCAAAATTCAACTGTGGGGCACAGTACAGGTAAGGGGGCAGTGAGGGTGAGGGGGATTGCACGCACTTGTGTAGAGGATGTGGGGGGCGCACATTGCCTTCTGGGTGCTGGCACACGAGTGCAAGTGTGCAAGCGCGCACACAATTTTTGGCACGGGAGCCCAAAAAGGTTAGCCACCACTTCCATAGGGGAATGACAACACTATGAATTCAGGAAATATTGGAGAAGGAATGCAAACCACTGAGTAATGTGTACTTAAAGGGAGCAAAGGCAATGCAGAAGAGTCCTGGCAGATGGAAGGTTTCATGGGTAAAAATAAAATCAGCATAAATTGATCTGAACCATTTTTTAAAGAGCACTACAACTAACAACTCCATAATGGATCATTTCTGAGCCACGAATCTTAAAGCACTGCATATAATGTACTATATAGGAATTAGTAAATAAAGTCCACTAGTAAATATTTGTCACTGAACTGAACATCAGAGAAAATTGGAAGGTAAAATTCAGTTGTATGTTACATGTAGTCTTTCTAAATGGCTGTTTTGCCACTTTTGAATAAATTATCCCTAGAGCAGGTAAAGATATGCAAACCAGGTGCATACTCAACCAACTATTTTCCTATCATTTGATTATCATAAATCATATCAATGTTTTTCACATCCTTCATTCCAAAGCATTTAGTCTTCAGCCTCCCAGGAATGCATATAATTCTATAGAGGACTCAAACTTTCCTGGTACAGTATCACCAGGTGATTTGAAAGTATGTGCAAGTACAATGATGCTTTTCTTGTGAAAGTGGAAACTATCATTTGCCTACTCATTGACATTTAGCCAAAGAAGATTTTCCCCAATTTTAAAATCTTGGATGACATAAGGGCAAGAGAAAAGCACATTTCCTCCTCGGTTCATTTTTTGGAACAAACGCCACTTGCTCTGAAATCTACAAGGATTGCCTAGTTAATTTTGAAGGTATCATCATAAAAGTTTAAACTCAGATAACCATAGCTTTTAAAATTCCATTGCATGATTTTTCCAACATCACCAGCAGCCAATAATAGTCGTGAAAATGCTGATCATGTATGCCAATAGACAATGCTTAATTAAGATGACATATTTAAAATTTAGATGGAAAAATAACATTTACCAAGTAAAATTCATAAAAGATCAAAACATAAATCTTGACATACTTCTACATGATATTAAAGCAGAAGCTGGAGAAGCAGCTGAAACTGGGATCCACAGATCCAACTCTGTTCTAGAAATTTAAAAAGTACTTTTCAAAACCTCTCTTTCAATATTTATTGATGGTGTTTAGTGGTAGACATAATCCTGTAGTCCTAAGAGATATTTCTCTTGGCCTTTCTGATGTGACATTAATAACTGCATATTGCAAGTGACATTTTGATGAAAACAATTGGGGCTAAATGATGTACAGTTGGAGAGTTGTGGGGAGAAACAGGATATTCAGCTTCTTTTAAAAAGTCTAATCCAAATAGAAGAAATATTTTACTGAATTTCATTTACTTAATGGATAAATCCAGGCAAACAAAGTACAAATAGATAAATTACCCACATAATAAATGAGCAGACTGACATTTATTTGTGGGCCAAAATGCTGTCCTGCTGAAGGAAGTTGCATTGGGGGGAAAATACATCCAACCCTTATTTACTTGTTAACAAGATTTTATTCTTTTTAGATCATGTCTGTGTCCCATGTGTTGAGGAAGAAATTCAGTATTTCCCATGAAACTCCAAGTAAGTCTTTGCTCATTTATGCAAGGAGGAAAATGCTCAGTTGATTGGCAGCTTCTGCCTAATAATAGTTGCCTTGGTTAAAAGCAGAGTTAAATTACTTTCTGCATGTGTGCATATCTGGAATGTATGAATCAATTTCACAATGTGGTTTTCATACATATTCAGCTATTACTCTCCCAGAGTTTCTGCATCATGCTGAAAGGGCCTCGAAGACAATTCTTTTGTTTTGGTCACCCTGTGTTCTGCTGCCTCTCACCCCTGTCTCGATCTGCTTCCCCCAACTGATGCCTGTGTTTTCTTCCTCCCGCTGCTGAGACCCAACTGGCAAAAAAAAAGCTGTTAACCTTTGCATGGCCTCCTCGGCAGTGGGAGAAAGGACAGTTAACAGATACTCAGAGATGGAAGGGACCTTATAGATCATCTAGTCCAACCCCCCGCCCAAGTGGGAGACCCTACACCATTTCTGACAAATGGCAGTCCAATCTCTCCTTGAAAGTTTCAAGTGATGGCGCTCCCAGAACTTCTGAGGGCAGGCTGTTCCATTGGTTGATTGTTCTCACTGTCAGAAAGTTTCTCCTTAACTTGGGAGCTGGTGCAGGAGGCAGCAGAGGGTAGACAGCAGTGTTAGAATGCAGGGCAGCTGAAAGGGTAGCATTGGTTGGGGGGAGTCAAGCAACTCCTGTGATCGTAAACGTGGGCAAGCTGCCAAGTATCCAAATGTTAATCATGTGACTACAGGGACTCTTGCAACAACCATAATTTCATTCAGTGCTGTTGTAACTTTGGTCATTGATCAAATGGTCCTTAAGTGAGGATCTCTTGTTCTTCCAGGTGTATTTTCAACATATTAATATTTAAGCAGAAAGTTATACAGATTATCTTTCAGCAACATTTGCCGTAATGAAAAAGTAAACTTTGCGGTCAATGCTCACATTTACAATCTTTTCAGGTCTGTAAAGGAAAGGAAAGCTGAATAAGATTATACGCACAGTTGCAGTTTCACTTAGCCACTGCTTCACTTGATGACCATATTGCCAACCCCAACTGTGGTGCTAAATGAGGACTACCTGTATATAAAAAAAACCCAGCTTCAAATATTATTATATGTAATTGTAAGGACCTGCCTCATTTAGCCCCCTCAGGCAAACAGGAATCTTGAATTCATCCAGTTGAATCAAAATAATTTTTATTGAGGGAAAATGATTGCAGGAGAGCAGGGCAAAATCTGAAAAAATTTCCAAGCAGTTATAGTCAAAGTAAAAGCATGCAAAAATGCTAGCCAACCTCTTTCCCTTCCTTCCAACAGAAGTGCAGGACCCAATGGTGGACCAGTCCAGTAGCCACTCTAAAAGGGCTAAATCATGTATGGAGTTGTTGTATGCCCCTTCAGCAAAGGGCAACAAATCCGTCCAGTTATCTTGCTGATAATTGATATAACAACTGAGATATTGTTCCCGCACTGAGTTTGTACGTTCACACTTTCCATTATTTTGAGGGTGGTGACTTGAACTCAAGGTGAAATATGAAAAAGCCCAGGTGAAGCAAACAGCATTCTTTCATTTCCCCAAACCAACTTTCCTGACCAGTCCACCAGCAGCCAATGTGATGCTGCAAGGTTGTTATGGAAACTCCAAGGTGCTAGGCAGATAACAGTTTACCCTCAGGTCAGGACAGCCTTGAAGTCAGGCTGGAACTGGCTGGGAGGGAATCCGCTCCATCTCTGAAGACAGTTCCCCTTCCTAATTCCCAAGCAGTTACGGTCAAAGCAAAAGCATGCAAAAATGCCAGCGAGCCTCCCCTCCCCTCTTTCAACAGAATGGCAGGACACAATGGTAGACCTGACAGTAATAAACTTGGGATGACTGATACTTGCGGAAAGTGGAATTAACATTAAATAGTTAAAGCAATATCTGCTTAATCAAATTTCAAGTAGTCCGCAGTTTTTCTTTCCATACAGTTATTTATAGCGGCCCCAAATGCCCCCATTTGGTTAGCATACTCTCATTACTAGGTGTAATTTACTAGGGTAAATTTTAGAATTGTGATGCCTCTGAAAATAACAGGGAAGAATTGATTCTACTAGTTGCTGAAGTAGCAGCACACTTCTGCAGAGCTCTCCCATTTTATTTAAATTTAACATGTCTCTTAGAGTAAGCCACATCTTTTACTCAGATCCACATGGAAGCAGAAAGCAGGAATAATGTGTGCCAGAAGCACTTCTGAATCTTGTTGAAGAATTCACACTTGTATAGATAGGAGGACTAATGGCCAAACACTTAAATCTGAGCCACTGTGTGCTGCAGCTTATATGGGGGGCAGGAGTGGGGAGTGGGGAGTTGAAGCAGAGAATAGAAGTATGAGGTCCTCGCCTAGTGAAAGTGCATTCTTTGACTAATGACCACTGGACTGCTGGAACTGCCTGCATTGTTAAGCAATATGGTCACCTGATGTTTTGTCTAGCAATTGCTTCACTTAGCAATAGAAATTCCAGTCCAATTTAGGATCGTTAAGTGAGGATTACCTGTACTGGGTTCAGATTTTGCTTCTATGAATTGAGAGGGAAGGAGGACTTAGAAAATATTATTGATCACTCACTCAGCTGCTACAGTATGGAGGCAGTAATTCTTACTTAACATTGTAATTGCAAAGTTCACAAAATAATTTTAAAAGTGCAGTGTACTACATTTTCTCATGTTAAAACATAGTGCAACACACTGAACATGGAGATTTAAAACAAAAAGAAAAACAATGAATAGAAATCAAGAGTCAACAATGTAATTCTTACATTAATACAATTTCTAATAACAAGCATTGGTCACTAAAACAAAAAGGTTGTCATTAAATTGTTTAGGTATAATATTGTGCCCAAACTTGGAGTAAATGGGAATAAATGATATTATGGGGAATGCCAAGTAATTCATAGAGATAAATAAATTCTCTTAAATATAGAAAAAGATCTTTGTCTAACTTGTACATTAAAAGAAACTTACTTTTTACACGCTGGTTGGATTATTAACCTAGAAGAGGTTTTGCTCTTACAAATTCTTCCTCCATTTAAACATTGCATGTGTACTTTGGTTCTTTCCCCATTCTTACCTTTTAAGACCAGCTAAACACAAACAATTTTATTGCAGCATCTTGTCGTCTATATTATTTTCTTTAACTTTTCAAGGCAATGCTGAATCCTTTGCTCGGAACTCCTATTACAGAGGATCATTGACCCAACGAAATCCAAATGGAAGAAACAGAAAAATAGATCACATCTTCACGGCAAGTATTCAGAATTTACTTCATGGCTTTCATCCCGACTGAGAATAGATGGTAGAAAAAGGGTAACAGAGACGAATAGAGGAGTTCTTTACCATGAAATGCCAAATTCCAATAGAAGGCTACTGGTTTTTGTAGGAGAAAGATATGTGGCCATTTATCAAGAAGAGGCTGTTATTAATATGAAAACATGTAAATTAGACAGAATCCAGAATCAGATAAGTGGAAATAACAGCTAATAGCTGTATAGCATGCTTTTGTATCAGGGAAATCAATCTTATGATCTTACTATAATATATGCTGTAACAGTGGTGGCTAACCTTTTTCGGCTCACGTGCCAAAAATTGAGTACACGCACTCACATGCCAGCACCCAGAAGTAATGCATGCTGGCACGACCCTGCGCATGCACGCACGACCCCCCTGCATGCACTGTGCATTTCTGAATGCACGTGAGACCCCCTGCACGCGCTGTGCATCTCTGCGCATGCACACACATCTGCGCACGCCGTGCATGCGCACCAGATACCCTACAATCAGCTGTTGTGCAGCAGCGTGCGTATACGCAGTGGGGTTCTTCCGAGCGACCTCTCACGTGTCGGCAGATGTAGCTCTGTATGCCACTTCCGGCAGGCGTGCCATAGGTTCACCATCATGGTGCTATAATAATCATATACAATTAAATAATCATATAATCCCAAGTAATTCATGCAACCATCAACAATAACTTTATCGATTGGCTGATTTCTTATTTTAAAAATTGAAATAAAAAAGTAGCTAGCTATGGTAGAGCTAGCTTACTTGTTTGGCAATTTCACATCTCTCTCTCCCTCCCTCCCTCCCTCTCGCTCCAAGAGTCACAAAAATATTCCTGTTCCTACTTTTTCTGTTGCTGTTTTTCTACGGCAGTATATTTGGACCAGGGAGCACTCTTTATTTTTTAAAAGATGGGAACCTTTCAGGAGGCGTACATAATTCCAATTTGAAAGTGGAAACGTGACAAATGATAACAAAACTAGTTGACTGTGGATTCTGTGAATTTGGGGAGAGTGCACTGGGGAAGGGGCACGACAGCTGACCTTTGGGGAATAAATGAGTGAGTTAATCTTGAGAAATAGTCTGGGTTGGAAATACTCCTGAATTATAATTCAAAATAATGACCCCAAATTTTTCTATTATCTTTTATTATTGATTCATATTTTTAAAAAGTTACAGATAAGGCAACTATTAATTTCTACAGATATATTCTTTTGTCTTATCCTAACATATTTTTCTTGCAACATAATACATATACTGTACGTAACAATCTCAGAAATCTTATCCTCTTTTTTTTCCCTGTCATTACTCTGGCAGTTCTTTGGAATATCTTAGGGGCGAGCAGCAATCACCTCCTTTTTCAACGAGACATCTGCAGCTAGAAAATGTTGACCCTCTCTTTGGTTTCATGACAACATTTTGCATTGTTCTGAAGCCAGTCAAAAGGAAAACAGTGATTGCTATGAGCTATAGGAGCATCTAGCAGCATTTGTGCTCAATCTGCACTGAAACTCCTAAACTTTTAACTCTTTAAATGGCATGGGGAAAATGTATGCACAATATCAGTCCAGCAATTTTTATGAGTGATGTTAATTGATTTTTATTGGGATCCACTCAGAGCTGAATGGAAGATGAGCAACTATGTAAATGTTTTAAGTAAGTAAAACTCCAAAGCCTCATATTGATGTTTTGATACTTTACAGAAACCTGTGATGACCCATCGTTCCTGAAAACAGTGGACTCTTCTAAGATCAATATTGCAAAATCCTGGCTCAAGTTTTTATTTTTGTTGCTTTTTTCTCTCTTACCAGTCTATTTGTTCCATGAAAGAAGGAAAACAAACAAATTACTTCTGAACAGAAATCTCTGAGGAAGAATCCTATGACATTTGAGCTCTAACTTCTCTAGCAGAGCAGCAGGTCTCAATGTATGTTATGGAATCCCTTCCTCAGCTTCTTCACTTATCTTAAATAGATATATCCAGGTGGATTAAAGACACATTTTCTAGGCCACTAAGCTTGTAGTTTAGCTGTATGGGACCCATATATACATTTTGTATTTTCAGTGCTTGGAACTGCTCAAGATTCATGTCCTACTGCTATTACTAAATCATTGGGTGGTAAGGAGAAGGGTTTGATTTACTTTACAATGTAGAAAAATCAATAATTCCTGAAGGTAGCTTGAACTTTTTGAATTAAATCATCATGATCTGTTTATAAAAAAAAAGATTCAGAAAGACTTTGTAAGACTAATTCATTAGCATAATAAATAGAGGGAAACAATTTTGTCTTGTACAAACTTAATTCTGTTGACCACTGAATTATAACCCCTGGAAATTTATGCTATGGTAACTATAGACTTCCCACATTTTATGCTAGGATTATGTGTCCCCAAAACTTTGCATAAAGAATGAGACACTGAACCAGTGGGAAAGGGGGATTGTTGAGTATGGTATCAAATTTTATAACGCAAATGAATGAGTAAGGAAGATGACCTTGTCAAAGATTTGCAGGATCTGTTGCCTAGGAAAAAGGGCTAAAGCATTTTTAAAGTCCAGAAAAAGATAGCATTAGAAAATGACCCAGGCAGACATCTTCATAATTCAAAGAGGAGGAGGCACAATGCAATCAGACTTGCAAGATTCTGTTACTACAGCCAATTTCAATAAAAAATAGTTCTAGCCTTTCAGTGAACTTGATTTCCTGGTTTGGCTTACCTAGTAGGGCTGACATGCACTGACAAATATTCTCATAAATATTTAAAGCCTTCTTCTTAAGTATCACATTTCTTAAAAGTGTTTTATTTCTATGTGCAATGGAAGCATAATCTCCATTTTTCTTATAGCTGGATTTCATGGTGAACCAAAGGGTTGAATGCATTACAATTTTTGCTAGCATTTTTCATCATTTTATACACAGTAGATTTTCCCAGGTTAAAAGCTTGTCCTGGGACTTCACCCATTTCAGGGCAACATAATACAGATAGTCCTTGAGATACGACAGGCCACAGTGAACGTTCGAAGTTACAACAACCACCTCAAAACCAGTGGTGGGATTAAATTTTTTTTACTACCAGTTCTGTGGGCATGGCTTGGTGGGCGTGGCAGGAGAAGGATACTATAAAATCTCCAATCAGAGGTGGTATTTGCCGGTTCTCCAAACTACTCACAATTTCTGCTACCTGTTCTCCAGAATTCGTCAGAACCTGCTGAATACCACTTCTGCCCAAAACTATATATGACCCTTTGTCAAAGTTACAGTGGCTGCAGTAATCCCATAATCATTCATCCTTATGGAAACATAATGGAGATGCTTCAGTGCCTTTCTTCATATTGTATTTTAAATCTAGAACTATGTTTTCAAACTCTAAAATTTGAATTTCTATGCAAGTTGTCTGTACCATCATGATGGCTTTCACATATAACTTCAAACTTTGTGTCATGTAAGAGCACAGACCTTCAGAAAATTAAGATATTACTGATTTCTCTGAAATTAAAAATAAATAAATAAACTTTTGTTGGCAACAGTGACTGTATATCAAGCAGGCATTGAAACTGTGAAGTCATTACGGTTTGGTATTCTTAGAATTTGTTTCATGATAGAAATGCAAAGTTCAGGCATCTCCTACCACAAGTGGTTGAGCGTCTTTATTCCAGTGTGACCAAGTGTCATCATTTTGACCCTAATATAATTGTATCCAAAATGTACCTGCAACATGTTTATTTAGGGCTGTGCAGTGCTTCAAATATGATTCCCAATGTGTTTTGGAGCACATGGGAATGCAAATACAGCAACTTTCTGCAACTAAAAGCCATAGTTTTTTCTTGGATCATATGGCTGCTTAAAACAGTTGCAGAGAGATGCTAGTTACTTCTTTGGCCATGTTGCCTTTTGAAATCAAATCTAAAATGTTGATGGCCCTAATATTTATGTCTTTGGCAATTAGTTACAATACATATCCATTTTATTCACATAGCTAAAGATGCACAAAGAAACTGAAAATGTGAGTTCCTATATCTGTTTATCTGATTAGTGTTTTTCCAAGCTGAGAATGAATCTTGAGTTCAGACCAAAATTCTTAGTTTTAATGCTAATAAATCGTTGCAGTAAATAACCAAATTAGAAGGCATTTTCCTGTTACAGCTGTGACTTTTCAGTACCCTGAACTTTTCATACCTCCTGTAAGCTATCTTTCATGACGATGTTCTCATCAACCGTTATGTGTCCAGATCTCTTCCAGTTAATGTAAATTGATGTCATTGATGCAATCAGGAAGAGAAGCCTGTGTTACATGCAGTTTTCTTCTTCTTCTTTAAGGGCTGTATTTTCTCAAATAAAGCAATTGTGGGGCAAGGGATTCTGAAGGAAAAGATATCCACACCCCTCATCCATGCATATTGGCAGGACTTCTTTCCAAAACAATCAAAGCTACTTGGACCCCTTAACAAAAAGGATTGGGTAACCCCACCTAATGTGTCCCTTTTGCCCTAAAGCAGACATTATCCTCACTCTGTACATCTTACACATCAGCTTTTATCTTGACTCAGAAATATAGCCAGGTAGGCTGCATTATAAATGGATAGTTTGTATTCCCCACAGCAAAATGCCAATTTCCTTCCTCGCTTGCAAAGAGATGGGCTTTTCTACCACTCTGATTGTCTGATTAACTAGCTGAAGCCTTGAGATCACTGCTGCCTCAGGTCCATTTCTTTGGGATGTGGAAAGCAGAGCCAATTAGCTCACCGCTCACTTCTTGATGAGGGTCAGTGTGAGGGAGCTTTTCCAGCATTTTCTCTGAAACTGCAGGGTAGATTTCTTGGATGGGGGTGGGGGAATTCCTACCTCCACGTTCCTGGCACTTCTTCTTCCCTCCTGCCGTGTGGACCTTGCCACCATCACCCCATCCCCCAAGGGATAGGGGTTTGCTGCTTTCCTACATAATGTGAATGTGGGCAGCTAAACACTGGGAAATCTTATGCTTGGGGAGCATTAAAGAGAGAAAATAAGGCAAGATTGTAACACCAAAGGCAAATGTTTAAAAATATAGAAATATGGCATTTATTAAATGTTTATCTATTTCATAACAGGCTAAATGAGAACAGTGAAGGGGAGACCATTTCAAAGAGATTTAGATCATTTCCAAAATGAAGTGGCTCTGCCTAGAAGCCCCACAACGTGAAGATGGAATTTCTGGAGTTTTTCAATTTGCTTTGGAGAGTGGTTGCTGTCATTATCAGTTGTACTTAATATTGTTGTGAACCTCTTGTTATATTTTTTTTTTTCATAGAAAGAAAACACCAGGTAGTAGGGATAAGATGATGTTTTGTGATTAATAGCTCTAGCTTCCTACAAGAACTGACATTAAAACCACTGTCCTGCATCTTCCAAATCTAGTGATTAATAGAGATGTAGGAATGCAGAAAGAGAGAAGATTATGTAATGAATTCTCACCTGTAAAGTTCTGGACTGCTTTTTATCTTACATCCTGATCACAGTACTTGTCCTTCCAAAAATCTTCTGGACCTAAAGTTATGTTCCTCCACTGCTTTATTAATGCTAATTGCTCAAAAACTTCACCAAAAGAATAGGATATCTTCTCTTTTTGCTCAATTCTAAATGTTCAAAGCTGCAAGCCTATGCTTTAATTGCTTTGCCTTACTGGGCAGTGCCATATCCTGATGTGGATGCTGAATTATTTTTGAATCCCCAAGACCGAATAATGGCATTTCCAAATGCATATAATTGTTCCTATTGTTTACACTAGTAAATGGAATAGAATCAAAGGTGGTGAACGATTCCTGAATGCCAAAAGGCGGTGCTTAGATCAAGTGAATCTGAATGGATTCAGAAGTGACATTGGTCACTTCCTTTCAACTCTGTTTCCAGCATCCAGAAAGACTAAAATGTTTTTTGCTTGAGTGCTTATGGAATCCTTACACATTCAGTACTTTTGATATCACAGTTCTGCTTGCATGCTACCTTTCCCATTCAACAAGGCTGGGCTCAGCAAGGCTCAAAACACAACGGGGCAGAATCATTTTTCATGGTGGTGTGCCCCTTATCCACTTTCATGATACTTAGTTGGAGCAGTGAAAGACCTGATAACCCCAATATTTATTTGATTGTTTACACTTATAGCCACACCTACGGCAATAGCAATAGCACTTAGACTTCTATACCATTCCATGGTGCTTTACAGAATTCTGGGCAGTTTACAATATTAGCATATTGCCTCCAACAAACAGCGTCCTCATTATACCAATCTCAGAAGGGTGGAAGGCTAAGTCAACCTTGAACCTCATCAGGATCCAACTCCGGACCGTGGACACAGCCTGCAATATTGCATTCTAACCACTGTGCAACCAAGGCTCTTCTTAATAAGCCACTATGTGATCTGTCACTAGTGTTATCAGAAGCATAACACATTCCCTAACCCAAAGAGAGAAACCTTCTAAATCAATAGTCTTATTTTTTAATGAGAGGTTATTGTAGATGCAGTTTAAGCTTCTTCCAGATAGTGATGTTATGTAAGAAATTGATCGTTTTCTTACATGGTACATAATATATACATATGTATTAATTGAATTGCAAATCAGGAAACATTAAAAGTTTTCTACATTACAACAATTCCTCCTATTCTCCAGTGTTTTTATTTAGAGTGGTCCTATGTTATATACTGTATACTATGAGATTTATAAGCTAGCTTGTCCAAGGCAAATCAGTGAGCCATAAAACTGAACAGGAATTTCATTGAAAGATCCAACCTGCAGCTATATTACCTCATCACAGAAAGTCTTCTGTAAAGGAATCCATAAGATAATGGGCAGCTGGCCATTTTCTTGATATTTTCTATTTTTCTGGATATTTACACATAATTGACTGCAAAGGTAATGGGATCCCATGTTAGTACAGATGAATAGACATCATTTTCACTTAATTGTAAACACTGTATGCTGTTATTTTAGGGTAGAACAGAAATGTAAATTTCACTATTCCACACTTGCCCAATCACTGACACACTAGCCTTTTACTTTTTAAAAAAATGAGGTGTTTTTTTTCATACTATATGCTAATATAAAAGGCAAACACTGGAGACCGAGGAGAAATATTTATGTCTTTTATGATGAGGGAAATTTGGAATACCCATATATTTAGTTATGCATATATACAATCCACCATCACAACAAACAGGAAGAGGGAGGCCTATGGTCCCTTCATATAACCCACCATACTGGATGAAGAGGAATGATATTGACTTTTCACCATTTGAAGAACAAAAGAAGTTTCTCAGGTTGAAGATAAGGCAGCCATTCTGAGAAGTCATATGTGAAATCCAGAAACCAGAGTGTGTGTCTTTCTGTTATTGTGTTTAGTGAAAGTGGAACCATAATAAAATTTCAATTTCTAGGATATGAACTGTTCC